ACTTTTAGCCCAAGCTTGTCTCTATTCCAGGCATGATAAATGGTCAACACAAATCAACATTATAAATAGAGGGTTCCTCATGGCTCCATGTCCTACCTCTTGCATCCAATCACTTCCGCAATTTAAAATCTGTTACTCACAGTGCCCTAATCTGTGTACCAATTTTCTCTCTGTTAGTTTACGTTCCAAATAACATAAATCCCAATTCAAACAGTGTTAACCAATAAGAAGATTTAATAAACCATGTATCAGAAGTTTCATGCAATGGTAGAATTCAGGTTCAGGATACTTTTAATCAGTAGCTCAACAATGTCATCAAGGTTCCAGGTTCTCTGCTCTTCTCTCAGCATTATTTCCCAAAATAAAGTCTAAGGAACACTAGCCCAGGAAAGAAGTGTCTGACAAAACAAAGTAACAAAACCTCAGTGAAAAATATCCTCAGGAAACATTTCACAGGGTATTCTCACCTTACAGATGCACAGTGTTCATTGGCATATCAATGTATGTACAAATATTAGTCTTAAATAATGGTTTTGTTTAATGTTATAATTTATAGGAAAGAATGTGCATAGTCATTTTGTGGAAGGATGCCAATAGTGCTCTGTTTTAGGGCCCAAATTCCTTCTCTTTGATGGGAGGAAAAGTGCCGGTGCTGATGTCTTTCAGGGACCATTCTTCAACAGTGTTCCTTCATGCAAAAAACTCAGAGTAAAGGCATGATTGTTTTGGTTCTGTTCCATAGGGGAGGTGAACTGAACAGTTGAGTCTTTTTATTTTTTTAACTGTTATTTTAGATTCAAGGATACATGTGCAGGTTTGTGATATAGGTAAACTTGTGTCATTGAGGTTTGTTGTACAAATAATCTCACCCCCAGGTACTAAGCCTAGTACTCAATAGTTATTTTTTTTAATCCTCTCTCTCCTTCCACCCTCCTCCCTCAAGTAGGCCCCTGTGTCTGTTGTTCCCCTCTTTGTGTTCATGCATTCTCATCATTTATCCTCCACTTATATGTGAGAACATGTGGTATTTGGTTTTCTGTTTCTGCATTAGTTAGCTAAGGACCACACTTTGAGTGGACATTAAAAATCCAGTGGAGTTTATGAAGCCAACTGTAACATGAATACTTGGGGGTTGTGAAGTTTAGTTGGCAAGGTCACTGTGAATCAAAATTTATTTCAAATTGAATTTCATCTAGAATGACTTTAAAGTAACTTTATCTACCCTTTCTCAGGGCCAATCACAAGCTGAGAACCCTGGAGCCCATAGCATGCTCACAATGGTCCTACAAAGTTATCTGCAAAATACTTGACACTTATTTGAGTCTTACATGATAATATCTTCAGTGAATTCAGTATTAGAGTAACTGTTCTTATATTCAGCACAGTTTTTGTGATTGCAAATGACGACCTATAAAAAATCTCCTAAAAGTAGTTTGCTGACAGGTTATAACTCTCCACCGTGCTATCTATAGCTGAAGTCAATCTGCCTAGTTATTACACACCATAGAGTTGATCTGTAAGGAGACAAAATAAAAAATGTTTATTTATGGATCTTATTGATTTGTTTCCTTCACAAGACAGTGAGGGAAATCTGTGAGGGCTGGAGCCCATCTGCTTTGTGAGTCTTTACACTGTCACTTTTCACATGGTTCAAATTTCCCAGGCCAAGAGGTTTCACTAGGCCCACTAGGCTGCAAGAGAGTTGAAGCTCAAATGGTGCCTCATGTCCCCCTCTCCTGACTTTGCAAGTCTTCAGGATAGCAAATCCTCCCTGCCCCCCATGCATTTGGCAACCTTCGACAAGGGGATGTGATGGGTAAGAAGCGCTCTTCATGGGTTTCTTCCTGACTCCCACATTAGCACAGGTAAAGCTCTAAGAAGTCCTGGTGAAAAAAAAAAATGTTTAATTTTCTTTTAAACACTGTTTATAAGCTTATTTGGCAAGAAACCCACTAACATCCTACAGAATCAGTGCTCCACTGAACATGCCTTTGGGAGGCCTTCATTACATGACTTCTGCCTGGCTCTGGCAACCTTTTTCTCTAAAAAGATTTAGGTGTCTGCATGTAGGAGTGTGTATAAAATTTGTATTTTATTTTAATTAATTATTATTACTTAAATGAATAGACATGGGGTCTCACTATGTTTACCAGGCTGTTCTCTAACTTCTGGCCTCTAGTGATCCTCCCACCTCGACCTTCCACGGTGCTGGGATTACAGGTGTGAGCCACTGTGCGTGGCCTAAAAACTTTTAAATGTAGTTTGGATATAACCCAAATGCCTAATAATTCCTTAGGAAAGTGGGGGAAAGAAGACTGGGGAAGAGATTTCAATTTATTTATAAGATTAATTTGTTTTCTAATGTTTGCTTTCATTCTGGCGTAGAAATGTTAACAGCTCCCTCTCGCAGCTGCTGACATGGGTAAAGGTACTATTCTTTGTGTTCCTCCTATTCTCTAACTACACTTTTGTAATTTGCTCCTTTATAAGTAAACCCTCTTCCAATTATCCTAATTTGAGTGTGCCATCTGTTTTCCCACTGACACACCAGTATTGCATGTTTACTATGAGACAGAAAGATTCTAGGTACTTCAGATGAGTTAAATCATTTAATCCCAAAATGTAGCTACATCTATTAACTATATTTTATAGAGGAAGTGACTGACATCAGAGAGTTTGGATAACTTGCCTAAGGTCACATAGCTAGTTAGCAACATGGGTTTGGAGTAAACCCACGCAGCATGGCTCCAGAATACTTGCTTTCAACCATTATACGATGCAGTCTTTCAAATAAATGATTTTGACTATATGAGATGAAATACATACAGCATTTACAATGAATGACATAGATCAATATGAACCAACATGGGTAGATCTCAAGAATCTAGGGTTAAGGCAAAAAGAAAGCTTCAGAATCATTCCATTTTGTGTATATTTTAAAATAAATATGCAAAACTAACTTTAGATTGTTTATGGATATATGTGTGTGTGTCTGTAGTAAATTATAAAAGGTTATTTGAAAGCAAACTAAATGCATCATAATGGTTTTCTTGATAATGGAAGAAAGTGTGTCTAGGGTAGAGAACAAAGGAGATTTCAACTTCACCTGTAATGATTTCTTTGTTTAAAACCACAAAGTAATGAAAAATCTGGGAAAAAAAACCAGACAAAATTTGGCAATTTTTGATTCTAGGTCATGAGTACATGAATGTTTGCTATATTACCAATTGCACTAAAGCAAACACTTTTTAAAGCTCAATTCCAAAAAGCAAATAGTAACAATAACACAAAAATTAAAGAAAAAGAAATATGAATAGTAAATAGAAGGCAAGGACATGGAGATTAGATATGGAAAAATTCTTAAAAGACCTTTGGCCATAATGGGGAGGAGAGAGAGATAGGGAGCTGTGGTTGGTGGTAGGGGTGAGATTAAGGGTAGGTTCTTGAAGAGAGACTGGAGCATGGTTATGTGATCATGGAGAATGAGCCAAAAGGAAGGGAAAAACTGATGATGAAGATAGAGGGAGATTATATAGAAAGGAGCAAAGCCCTGTATCTGGGAGCAAGGGTACATGTATGTAGTAATAGAAATGTGAAGGTGTTTGTTTCTGAAGGATTCACCCTGAAGTGAAGTATGGATGCGGTGCAAGGCCTTGAGGAGAAGGTATGAGATAGTCATTTCAGCAAGTGGGAAACTGAACTTAGTAGAGCAAACTAGTAGAACTTCTGGGGAGGGCCAAGTACCCATTTGAAGTTACTGATCACAGATGTAACATGAAATCTGTCTCTCCTGTGTAAGAACCTATATGATTCTCTTCAAGAACATTTAGTTGCTTGGTGAAATTAGAGTTAGGTTTTGCTATAAGAATACATTGGAGAAATCGGGAGTCAAGAGAGTGTTTGCAAGAGTAATCATACTTTAGTCCCATGGAGCCCAACCATGGGACTAAAGTAGGAAAATAAATAGAAGAGCAATTTGAAGACTGATGAGAAAGTAGAGTTCAATCAATTGATTATCTGATGAGGTCAAAAGATTATTTTAATGGGATTGCTTGATCAGTTAATCTCAAACAATAGGAGATAGTGTCAGAAAACGGAAGGTTTGGATTTGAGATCTTGCAGGTGGAGAAGTTTCTGGTAATGACGAAATTCTGAGTGAATCATTGGTGGAGTGACTGACGCAAAGCTAATTATAAATGAGTGTTTTTAAATCCCTGGTGGAAATGTCAACTGAAGGGAGATTCAGGGGGGCTTTCCCCTGAATACAGATGACACAATGAATGGAAGATTGTGATCTTGCAGTTGAAGTTCTTGGAGCATAGGAGGAAAAGCCAGGAGGGAGAAGACAGTTTTGTTTTATTTAGCTTCAAACATGGATTAAATAAAGAAAGAGTTTTGTTTTCATTGCATAACCAGAAGCCTGGATGTAAGCTCTCCAGGCTGATAACAGTAGCCACATTATGCCAATAGCCTCCTTTTATCCTTCCTTTAAACTATCTTTAGCTTGTGGTTTTTGCCTCCACACCTGCTGCCTCATGGTTATCAAGATCCATCATCAAGTTAGCATTACACTCAGCAAGAACAGAGAGGAGGGGTACAAAATGAGAGAGCCAGCTGACTCTTCTCCCATTTCAAGTGAGTTCTTGCAAATTCTGTCCAGTATTTTCTGTTTTCACCACATTAACTAAAACCATGTGACATAGCTAATCTTAGCTTCAAGGGAAATTTTAATTTTAATTTTTCCTTTAAACCTGGGCATATTTTTGCTCCATTCAAAATCAGTTTTCTTTCTTTTGGAGAAAAGCAAGGAATGCGTAGCAACTAATAGTATCTGCCATGTGTTATATCCAGGACGTGAGTTTTAATGGATAAATTAATTTTGTGAAACCAAGGAGGCTTGTTAATCTGAAAATAACTATGTATAGCAAAAGGGAAGACTAAATTACTTTTTGATCCTGAGATCCACAGGATACAAGTAAAGAAAACTGTATTTATTTTTTCTTATTTGAGGTACAGTTCAATTTCATTGAAGTCCAGGAAGTGGTAGAAATGAAAAGAGAAGAAGAAAAAGATAGGGAGAGTAAGCTAATTCATAAAGACACAGATATAGGAGGGCCAGTGATATGGATATAAGAGAAAAAGGAATTGGAACAAAATAGTGTGAGATTAATAGTTGAGGAATGGTGAGGCTTCTGCCGGTGCCTGAGGTAAACAGAGACATAATATAGGGTGGTGTTGATCCCTAACAGTATATTGGAGGAGGTTGTATATCATTTTGTGGCTGTGGTCTAGATACTTAGGTTAGTGGTGTAGTGGCTCCCAGGACAGCTGTCCCCTTGACTTACATGCAGAACCATGAGGGAGCTATGAGGAAGCCTGCTCCTCAGGCTTCACTGGAGCTAAGATGCTGTGTGTCAGTGGCAGGCATGCCTAGCACAGTTATGGAGGTTGTGTTCTGCACAATAGCACACAGCCAGAAGAGTTTGGTTATCTGATGAGCCAGTGCCTCTGCCTTGGTGCTTTGAGAATCAAACCATGTACTTAGGTGTTTTGTCCACCTGGAAGAGCCTTTCTTTTCTACTTCTCATTAAGAAAATATTTCTAGGCTATGCTATGATATTTGTGGGTATTCCTATTTATTTAATTAACTTACATTTTTTTTCAGTAACAGAGATTTACTTATACAGGCTCTCCAGCCTACATGTTTTGGGGGACCCAAAGACAAATAAAACATGTTCCCTATTTATCCTCAAGAAGCTTAGTGTATACCAAGGAAATAAGACACAATAGCTGTAATCACCCAGACTCAAAGAGTCAGCATGTTAGAAATGGAAGGGAACTTAGAGGCCATCTATTCAAATCCCTCATTCAGACACAGGGACCAAAACTAAATAAAAACATCTGTGAAGAAGGAGATTAGGAATTGCAAGACTAATCCTCAATCCAAAAGATGTTTCTTATTTTGTGGAAAAGGAATTAAGTCTAAGACATTTTGGCTCAGAGAGATCAAAAAGGACTTTGTTTTTAAAACGTCCTTCAGTGCTACAGTGGATAATATTTGTAGTGAGAACATGGACTTACAGAATGTTCTTCCAACAGAAATTATTTGTCGGGGGAGGATGCTGTTCTCCAGGGAAAGGGACAGCTTTTTTAATGGCCACTACTGACCTTGAGGATAAATACAACATTAGAGTAATTATACCAGAAAAGCAGCTCTCATAAAACTATGTTGACTGTTCTTTTTAGAGACAGAGTAGGACTCCTTGTTTATAAATATTATCCCGAGGCAAAAAGCATGGAGCCTGAACCCAACTCCATCCTACTTCTCGTATATCATATGTGGTGAGAGATTCCTGGAATTTCCATTAGAATTATCTTATTCTATAGTTGAGTGGGGTTTAGATACAGTGAGGCCACCCCCCCGAGAAAATTCTATCAAAACATTTAATAATGTAACAAAATATGAGTTTTCCAGTCACAATTCTTTCATGAACCAAGCAAAGAGAGCCAGTGAGAATCCTTCTAAAGCTTCTATACCTTCACCACCTCCTCAACTAAGGAGTTACCAAAAAAAAAACCCAGCCCCCTCACCTTTTGTTCCCTTAATAAGTTTTCTTAGAATAATCATTTTATTAATTTTCTTTTCACTTTGTCTCAGAATGGACCTACACATTTCCAAACCTCAGCCTTCCCACTCCATTCACTCTGCTCACATCTCATTCTCCTATTAAAAATAATTAACCTTATGGCTCCTTTAGTTAACATCATTTCTCTCCTTCCAATCACCCTTAACTTCCTGAAAAAAGAAATCTTTGCTCATTGCTTTAACTACCTCGACTCCCCTTCACTAGCAAATTTCTTACAAATGGAGTTCTGCACCCACAACTTCTCCGACATTATAATCTTCAAGATATTTTTTCAGTCAACTAGCTTAGATAAACCTGAATCAAACCGCACCCATCTCACTGCTGTTTACTCCTGGCTTAATTTAGGATTCCTAAATGCTCCTAGCTTGGGTCTTCCATATGCATAATCCAGATTTAAGCTATTCATTCCCCTACTCCATTCTCTAGATTCCAACCAAGACACCAACATATGACCAGGTTTAAAAAGCCAGTGTAGAGTCAGGCGTAGCCAATGTAGAGACCTGACCTTCATGTAGTCTATCTTGGGAGAAAACTCTTACAGGAGGTAGTTCCACAAAAGATAAAATCCTAAACAGAAATTAACAGCCATGAGTAAATTCAGTGTCATGGAAAAAAATTTAAATAGCACGATGGTAATTTCAATAGCAAATCTTTATTGAGTGTTCATTGTGTGTAAGGCACGGTTATAAACACTTTTAGGCATTGTCTCCTTTAATTTCACTTTATAGAAAATACCGAGGTGCTCAAATTTTAAGTAATTTGCCCAGTGTCACAGTTAGAAAGTGATAGAACTATAGTTTGAATTGGACACTTTTTCTCTTTCTTCAGTCTGTACTCTTAACCACTATATTATACTGCCTCCTAAAAAGTCACTGGAATCCTTTAAAAGTGTTTTTAAAAAATTCAAGGCAACTAAGCCAGGCCATTATATTCATAAAACTAGAACAAGAACAGTTATTCAAAAGGGCCAAATAGAAATCTTGGAAATAAAATGTATAGTCATTAAAATGTTTAATTTAGAAATAATTGATAATTCTTTACTAAGAATGAAGACATACAGCCTGGTGTGGTGGGTGGCTCATGCCTGTAAGCCCAGCACTTTGACAGGACGAGGCACGTGGATTGCCTGAGCCCAGGAGCTCGAGACCAGCATGGGCAACATGGTGAAACCCTATCGGTACCCTAAAAAATACAACAACAACAAAAAAAAGAAAATTAGTTGGGCATGGTGGTGCATACCTGTAGTCCCAGCAACTTGGGAGGTTGAGGTGGGAGGATGACTTGAGCCTGACAGGTAAAGGTTGTAGTGAACTGAGATTGCACCACTGCACTCCAGCCTGGCTGATAGAGCCAGACCATGTCTCTGAATAAGTAAATAAAATAAAGACATACCAAAAAAAAAAAAAAAAGAAAGAAAGAAAAGAAAAAGAAAATTACGGTTGTAATTTTAAAATAAATATCATACTTAATGAGGAAACACTAGAAAATGTTCACTAATATCAGGAATAAGGCAAAAACATGCCCTTCTCAATATTGTACTATAGATATTAGATAACATAATAAAAAAAATCAATTAGAGTCATACAATTTGGTAAAGAAAAAGAAAACCATCCCTTTTTGCAGAAGGCATGACAGCAGGCCTCAAATACCCTAGAGAATTGACAATAAAACTATCTTGAACAATAATATAATTCAGTGAGGTATCATAATATACAATTAATAGGCTAGGCACAGTGGCTCACACCTGTAATCCCAGCACTTTGGGAGGCTGAGGCAGGCAGATCACGAGGCCAGGAGTTTGAGGCCAGCCTGGCCAATATGGTGAAAGTCTGTCTCTACTAAAAACACAAAAGTTAGCCGAGCATGGTGGCATGTGCCTGTAGTCCCAGCCACTTGGGAGGCTGAAGCAGAATTGCTTGAACCTGGGAGGCGAAGGTTGCAGTGAGCCAAGATCATGCCACTGCACTCCAGAGTGAGACTCTGTCTCAAAAAATATATATATATATACACACACACGATTAATACACACAATTAATAAGAAATTAATTAGATGACATAATGGTAGAGAAAATTCCAATTATAATAGAAGCAAAGAAGATTAAATACTTAGGGATAAACTTAGCAAGAAACATATAAAACCAACAAAAGGAAAATTATAAAACACTCTTGGCAGGTACACAAGTAGACTCAAACAAATGGTAAGATATTCCTGTCTTTGGATAGGCTCACTCAATGTTATAAAGATGTCAGCTCTCCCTAAATTCATTTATAAATGTAACGCAATCCTAATAAAAATTTCAACAAGCGTTTTTTAGGGAGTAAAATGACTTGATACTAAGGTTCAACTTGAAAAGAATGAACATACATGAATGCCTAGACAGTAAACACACTACCAATCTTGCATAATTAAAAGAGTATTCTACGGGTATACGAAAGGACAAATATACTGGTGGACAAAAATAGTCCAGGAATAGACTTAAGTACACATGGAAATTTAGCGTAAGATAAAGATATTCTGTAATTTCAATTTGTATTTCTTCTTTTCACTCAGTTATTTAATAGAAAGTTTTTGAATTTCCAGGAGGAAGGGGCTTTTAGGTTTTGTTAATCACAGTTAATTTTATTTCATTGCAATCATAGAACATTGTTTGTAATATTTCTACTTAATTGGACTTACTAATTTTCTTTTTGAATTATTACACCCTAATTTTCCATGAATATTTCACAGGTATTTGAGAAGAAGTTAGATTCTCTATTAGCAGGGTGTGGAGTTTGATATATATCCATAAGAACTAAGTGTGTGTGTGTGTGTGTGTGTGTGTGTGTGTGTGTGTGTATTTGACCATAATACTTATTTTTTGTTCTCTTTTCTTGTACTAAGAATAAGGCAGGCCAGTCTCTGATTACTAGTGTGTTTGTAAGTACCAGAAAGGTAGTCGCTGTGTTATTTTGTGCAAAAATATTTATATTTAATATTTCCATTTTAAGTTGTGGCTTTTAAGCCTTAAAAAGTATTTGCCTTTGTTATGTTCAGTACATTTTGGCTTGGATTTATCTTCTGTCAGGTTTACTTCTCTTGCTTTCTTGTTGTTTATGTCAGTTATACCCTTGTCCATTTCTTTATGTTTAATCTTTCTAAATAACTTTGTTTTAGGTATGTCCTTTGTATGCAGAATATAGTTAGGTTTTACTTCTTACTTTTTTTTTTTCTTAAATGGAGATGGAGTCTTGCTCTGTTGCCCAAGATTGGAATGTACACTATCATAGCTCACTGCAGCCTTGAACTCCTGGGCTCAAGTAATCCTCCTGCCTCAGCCTACTGAGTAGCTGGCACTACAGGCATCCACCACGATGCCTGGCTACCTTTCTTAAAAATTACTTTTGTAGAGATGGGGTCTCACTTTGTTACCCAGGCTGGGTTTTATTTGTAAGCCTAACTAAAACTTTTCTTTTAATGGAAAATTTATGAACATTTACATTTACTGATATATGTTTGCTCTCAAAATTCTATCACACAATATTGTATAATTGTGTGTCTTTTGTGATATTTTCTATATTTCATTCTCTATGAACTGTTTATTCTTTGTCTTTTAATCTTCCTTTTTTTATTTTTTGATATTTAGGAGGATTTATATTTCTGTTCTAATGGTTACCTTTGTATATATACTTTTCTTAGTGCCTTTCATTTCCTGTTTTCTTATTTAGCCTGTTATCTGGTTTATTCAATTTTATTGGTATTCTTTAACGGCTTCTACAACAATCAATGATCTATTTCTACTTTTCTTTTCTCCTTTCTTCCATATTTAGTTTCATTATTTTTATACAGAATTCTTGCACACCAATTTAAAAAAGTCAGATAATTAAATTGTTTAAAGCATGGGAATATACAACTAATGGAAGAAAAATTAAAATGGCCAATATGTATATGAATGGAAGCTCAAATTCCCTAGTAATTAGAAATGTACAAATGAAAAATACTTGGTATTTTTTGCCTGTCACTGGAAAAAATTAAAGCTTGGCAAGTGTTGTATATTGGGGAAAATGAGGCTCTCATACATTTTTGTTAGGAGTCTAAATTGGTCTGATTGCGTGATAATTTTGCATGTTACACCTCTCAGCAGTTTCATTTTATGAACTACATTATAGATAAATGCACCAGGAGACATATATAGGAATATTAATTTAAGTACTTTTGCCAGAAGCAATTAGAAATGACCTAACTATTTAACAATGGGTCTATAAAGAAATGCAATTATATTTAGATTCTTTGATTCTAATGATTCTTAGATTCATATGACAGAATTCTTTCCAGCAATTAAAAAGCATAAACTAGAGGTATAGACTTTATACTTCCCATGTTAATACTGATGGTTTTTAATCCTAAACAATTTCATCCATTTATATGATCAGGTGTTTTCTCTTTGAAATAGCAAAAATTATACCACTTACCTCATGCTTTTGTTGTGATTGTGGAAATATATGAAGTGTTTTAAAAGATGATTAATACATAGAAATTATTCAATAATGTAGTTGTCATTATAATCTAAAAACAAAAACAAAAATTCATAATTTTAAATAATAAAAGATGCAGATTATATTTATATAAATCAAAATACATACCAATAATTACTATACACTTTTTATGAATCCATATTGTCTTAGTTTGTGCTGCTATAACAAAATACCTGAGACTGGGTGCTTTATAAATAAAGAAATTTATTTATTGCTGTTTTGCAAGCTGGGAAGTTCAAGATCAAGGTGCCAGCAGGTTCAGTGTCTGATGAGAGCTGCTCTCTGCTTCTCCAAGATGGTGCCTTGTTACTGTCTCCTAACATGGCAGAAAAGCAGAAGAAAATGAACCCCCTCCCTCAAGCCCTTTTATAAAGGCTCTAATCTCATCCATGAGAGCTCTGACCTCATGGCTTAATCACCTCCTAAAGGCCCCACCTCTGAATATTATCACATTGATGATTATTAAGTTTCAACACATGAGTTTTGGGGGAAGCATTCAGATCATAGTACATATGTATATGAGGACATTAAAAAATGATCTGGAAGACCATACACGAAAATCTTAACAGGTCCTGAGTGTGATGAAAGGGGAAAATAATGGACATGAGAGTCCTCTTTTTTTCATTAAAAAAATAAAAAGGTAACATAAACTATATACTTTTAATGAACCCATATTGTCTTAGTTTGTGCTGTTATAACAAAATACCTGAGACTGGATACTTTATAAACAGTGGACATTTATTTCTCACAGTTCTGGAAGCTGGGAAGTTCAAGATCAAGGTGCCAGCAGGTTCAGTAGGACTATATTTAATATAAAGTCCAGGGACTTTAGTTTTATCCATTGCCTCTTTATTTCTTTAAATAAAAAAAGGCATGGAAGCAATATCACAACCTATTGACAGTATATATTTCTGAGTGGTAGAATTATAAATTGAGCTTGCATGCGGTTTAAAACATTTATCAGAAAGAAAGAGAAATCAAGCAACATGAAGGTGAAGACCTTGCCTCTGTTTACTCCATGTGCTCCCAGCTGGCTTTAGGGCGAGACTCTTACTGAGAGTAGGGAGATTAGTGAGGAGACGCTTGTTCACAATGGATGACATAGTCCCAGAGGTCCCCAAATTGGAAGTGATAAAATGCATCTCAATAAACATATTGCTAATAATAGTTAAAATAAAGACACACACGATTTAAGGAAATGAATTAGAGCTGAATCAGAGCAGTTGTATGGGCAGGAGATTCTTTCATCTGATGAAAATGTTCAGTGTCTCTCACTACTTCCACTTGTACAGCTAACTCCTGCCTTCTGTAGAACTGTAATATCTAGCGCTTTGGAGCCCAAACCCCTGTGGCATCCTCCAGGGCAGATGGATATCTCTTTGAAGCACCCCCTGAATTCCTTTCCCTGTGTCATTAGGTACCAGTCCTAATCACCTCTTTTCACATTCCATGAAGAAGTGGTTGAAATCACTCAGAATACGATGACTTGTTTCTCTTTTTCTTTGCTATTACAGATTTATACCTTTTTCATATATTTACTGTCATTTCTGAAGGATTCTCAGGAGGGAAAGGAGATTTCAAAATAGTTCAATTTATTTTTTCAAAGACTTCAAATTTATTTTACATAGAATACTCTCTTCTTTTTTTTTTTTTTTTTTTACTGTGGTTAAAAAAACAATACAAACTATTCTCTTCACAGATTTTTAAGTGTACAGTACATTTTTGCTAACTATGGGCACACTGTTGTACAGCAGATTCCTAGAAATTTTTCATTTTGCATAACTGAAACTTTATACCTATTGAAACTTGATCAAATAGCAACTCCTCCATTTGTCCCATTTCTAACCTCTAGCAATCACTATTTTACTTTCTGCTTCTAGAGCACACTCTTTTACATACTCTCTGGCTATCCCATCCTTACAAAGTTTTAAAAACAAGTAAGTGTTGGATTTAATATTATTTCTATAGAATTTTACATTTTGAATTCTACTCCATGTTTTAGTAAATCGAGATAACTTTTATGCTTGAATAGTCCATCACATGATCTCCTTTGCGACAATCAGAAACACGCTTTGATTTTTAGCCCTCGCCAAGACATCACCCTCCATTGCTCTACATTAAACTTGGGGTTTTTCTTTTCCATATTGTTATCTCCGCAAGGTCCCTTGGTATCAAATAGTGATTTAGACTCTTGTCCCAAGGAGTCTTTTCTACTGGTTTTATATTCCCATTATTAGATTTAATGGTCAACAACAGTGTCCCTATCTCTCAAAAATGATAAATAATTGATTTGCCGATGTTTATTCAGTCGGTAGATGGCAGAACTTGGACAGTTTGTTTAACTCATTCAGTATTTACAGATGTCTATGTGCCTGACATTGTGCTTAGTGTTTGGAAGGCGGAGGCAGGAGCATTGCTCGAAACAAAAAGCTCAAGACCAGCCTGGACAACAAAGCTAGACCCTGTCTATACAAAAAATTTTAAAACTAACTAGGTATGGTAGCATGAGCCTTTAGTCCCAGCTACTTAGGAGGCTAAGGTGGGAGGATCGCTTGTGCCCAAGAGTTTGATGATGCAGTGAGCTATGATCATGCCACTGCACTCCAGTCTCTGGTCTGGGTAACAGAGCTAGACTGTGTCTCAAAAACATATGTGTGTGTGTGTGTGTGTGTGTGTTTGTGTGTGTGTGTGTGGTTTAGAGTTACAACTTTCAAACTTTTTTGATTATGATCCATAGTAAGAAATATAGTTTACCTGATGACCCTGTGCACACATACGTCTTGATAAAGTCAAAATTTCAGAAAACAATACTAACCTTCTACATCCAATGCACTTGGATATTTGTCTATTCGATTTGTTTCAGTAAAAGCATCAGGTCATAATACACTGCATTGACTTTACAAGCCAGTAACAGCCGTTGATCAACCATTGCAAAAAGGGTAAAGAGGGAGTCATTTAAAACAACTAATTTCAGATAACAGAGAAAATTATGAGAATAATCTTTAATTGCAAATTCAGAGCTGTTCTTATGGATTATGCAGTGCCACTTGTTTTTAGCTTGGACTCATGCCTACCTCAGATATTTACATTTACAGATTAACTTATGAGCACCTTGGGCCCCGACGGGATGAGACACAATTCAGGTAAATATTGGTAAATATTCAAGTAAATATTCCTTGAGTGATAGGAGTTCGGAAAAGTTTGAAGGGAAAGGGAAGACAAGCGTAGGCAAGGATGGCTAGGGTGGGGAGGTCCAAAGAATTACAAAGCATTAGTCATCCAAGCAAAGAATAATCAGAAGACCACTGACAGAATTAACAGAGTTCAGGGATAATATCATTATACTCAATCCCTATTAAGATTTTGGTGTTTGGTCTCTCAGGTCACTTTTTTAGTAACTTCACAGACATATGGATTCATAAAGAATGTATAGTAATTATTCATATTTGTTTTGATTTATATAAACAGTGATCTTGTCTCTCAGCTCCAGAAAACCTTGCCTGGTGCTCCCTGAAGGCTCACAACATCCCAGCCTGGCCTCCATCACTCACTTATAATGTGTTTTGGGGTCTTGAGGGCAAGGAGCTTTCTCTTTCTTCTCTGAATTCCTAGGATCCAGCTGAGTGCCTGGCACATGGTAAGTACTCACGTACACATTCCTTGAATTCCCTAGATTTCAATTTCCTTCACTGTGAAACAAGTTGGGCTAAACAATCTCCAGGAGCCCTTACAGTCCTCAGAATCTATGACTTTGACCGATCTGAAGTGGTCCAAGGCACTTTGCTTCACAGGAAGCTCACATCTTCCCTGTGATTGGCCTGAGATTAGGAGTTCAAATGACCAATGACCTGTGCACAGTTTAGGGCCTAACCCTGCCCTGGCCGGTCAGCAAGAGTGTGTTGTGATAGGAGCAGATGAAAGCCTTATGCCACAGTAGTGCCTGCAGCAGAGAAAGGATTCCCTCCTCCACCTCAGGCCCCACTGCTGCTGCTCTCCAGCCTGCAGTTTCCTCTAAGGCTCTGGATTGGCTGGAAGAGCAACAGAGGGCTGGGAAAGAGCTTCTATATATACCTCAGAAGGAAAGGCGTCCCGGACAGTTTTGAAGTTTTCAAAGACTGGCTCTGCTGTTAAGAAGTTGTACTTAAAGCGGAGGAGCTAAGCCACCTGCCAAAATGTGCAAAGGACTTGCAGCTTTGCCCCACTCATGCCTGGAAAGGTGAGAACCAAGTTATTTTGGTTTAAGAGATGCAGATTTGGAGAATCTTTACTCAAGGGAGGCTGTCCAGAGGTAATAGAGGTATTGTAGTTTGTGGCTAAGCTGAGGTGAAACAGGTGCTTGACTGTAGACTGGGTATTATCTCTTCTCTGTAAACAATATAGAGACTTTGGAAGATCCAAGCTAGGAGATTAATACAATGTAGAGTATTTCATACATCATTTAATATCCAGAACATCATTTCCTTCAAGGAGACACCTAGTCTATAAGTGCTTATTTAGAGTAAAAACTGTATGGTTAAGGATATAGATTCCAACATCAAACTGTCTAGATTAGAATCCTGGCTCTACTACTTACTATTTGTGTGGCTTGGGGCAATTTATTTAACCTTGATATAGCTCAGTTTCCTTATCTGTAAAATGGAGATACTAAGCGTTCTCTACCTCACAGGCTGGTTATGAGGATTGAATGAATTAATGTATATGAAGCACTCAGAACCATGTCTGGCACCTAGTAGGACTGTATAAATGTTAGTTTTTATTAATGTAAAGGGACTGGGAGAGGGAGGCAAGTTTGCAGTGAGGAAGAGGAAATTTCTCATTGTTCTTTGTTCTCTGACCTCATTAGATAGAAGTAGCTGGATGGCTAGACAGAGAAAAAGCCCTTGGGACACAGGGGTTATTTATTAGCTAGCATTCTTTTTCAGATAAATGCATCAAAATCTTTGAGGCTCCCCGGTTTCCCCTAGGCTGGACAATATTCTGGAGAATCCTAGGTATCTAGGCTAAGCAAATAGAAGAACAAATATCTTACTTGTTAGAAAACTTAACCCAACCATCGTCTCTGATGCAGAGAAGTAGGGATGCTTCTCTTTTTATTAAGAATGTATTTGGTTAAATTGGGTTTGATCCCTTGTTACTTAAAGTAAATAAAGAAGATCCTTGCACAGATGTTCATCCCTAAAGGCATTAGCAATGTTTGTCTCAGAAGATTTTATTGTTTACTGGGCCATCTATGACTTCTGTCTCGTACAAGTTCAGGTCTTCTTTTTGATGACTTCCACTCTAGAAATAATCTAAAAATAATTTTTAAGGAGATAA